GAAGCCCTTGATGGGCAAAGGCCTGTAATTACTGCCAGCCCAGACCTCACTACTTGACCCTAAGGAAAACCACAGTGTAGTTCTACGGGAGCAGTTTTTCTAGAGCAAGCTTGTTCTGTGCTATTGGGTACGTTAACATTAAATGACTGCCTTTGGGTGAGCCCCTGTGTCCTGGGTGGCCAGGGACAAACGGGTGTGGGGGAGCTCAGCCCCGCAGGCTGGAGGCTGCGCTCCCCTGCAGCAGGGCGCCCATCCCCAATTACCGAGTTCGATCTGCAGCAGGCACCACAGGCTGCCTTGTGCCCCGTGCTAGCACCAGCACTTACCGCGTGTAGCCGGGCACTGTGCTGCCTGTGCGCACCGTAGGGCAGACTGAAATTAAAACCGCACAGGGTGCTGCTCCGGCCCCTCTCCCGCTTCCCCAGCGGGCTCTGCCTGCACCGGGGCGGCGGCACCCGCAGGCTGCAGCCCCCCCCGGCCCTTGCTGCCCACCCCCGGCCCTTACCGACTCGGCGAGCAGCAGCTGCCCCTTGCGGGAGCCGAGGAAGTCCCGCGGCGGCAGCAGCGAGCGCAGCCCCGGCGGGGCGGCGGCCTCGGCCCCCGGCTCGGGCTCCTCCATGGCTGCGGCGGCCGCGGGCTGGCGAGGAGGAGCGCGGGCGGCTCGGGCTGCTGCTGCTTTTTTTTTTTTTTTTTTTTTTTTTTTTTTTTTTGAAGGAGGGAAGCGGAAATCGTGACAATGCGGAAACGTGAAAAAAAAAAAAAAGTTTCAGCATCCCCAAATCTGAGGGGTGGGGGCCCCCGGGGGGCGGGATCCGCCGGCTGCCCCGCGGTGGCTGCGGGAGGGAGCCTGAGGGGGCAGCGCCCCCCCCAGCACCTCGGTTCTCCCCTCAGCGCCTCGTCCCCCCCGGCTTCACCTTCCCCCTGCACTCCTGCTGTTTTTTTCTCCTGTGCTGGGTAGCCCAGGCGGCCTCTCCCTGCCCTGCCCGCAGCTCGGTACCTCACCAAGTGCTCTGCTGCAAGTTCCCTTTCCGCAGCTTTTGGCTATTGTGCTGCCTCTGCCTTGAAACTGTCCCTCACACCGGTGCTTGCCCTTTAATTTGAATGCTCAGATTTGCTCAGTTGATGCCTAAATTTATGAATGGGCTTCCTGAGCATGAAGTGAGTTGTAGCAGCAACCCTTACACACACTGTAATAGTTTGTGATGGAAGACACAAACTTCACTTTATCTGCTACCTTCATTGCATGTTAACACCGCAGCATCACTGCGATTGTTGTGGAAGAGTTACTTCCAACACTCACAAACATAAAAATGAAAATTCGGGGATCAAAAGGTCTCAGTAATAAAACATTTACACAGGCTGATGCTCACCACCTGTGGAGTGGGGAACACAATGAAGGGTGAAAAAAATTTGTTCCTAAGATGTTTGCTGATAGCTTCTCCTTCTAAGTACACTTAACAAATAACGTTAAATAATGCATTCAGGGCCATTTGTAAATCTTTTTATTACAGAAAGACAATTATTAAATTAATTTTCATCTAGATGAAGATGTAGTTCAGTTTAGAAATACACGAGAATTTTTTGTGAAGTATAAACTGGTGAAACTGCAACACTTGAAACTACATACAGATGTAATAATACTTATGAACAATACTTGCAAAAAATGTAGAGAAATGCACAGGAAATTCAAAGATAAAGACATGAAAATACAAATTATTTAAAAGAGAACAGTTTAACAATAATCAATTAAGAAATTATTCTTTTGCTGAGATAGTAATTTTATTTTGCAGAACCATTCCTTTCTCTCGGTCCACTGATGCTAATCTTCTGGAAAAGAAGAACTGCATCAACAACACAGAGAACAAGCAATACAAAACCAAGCACCTGCAAAAATAACGATAATGTTAGTTTTCTCTTAGAACCTCTATCTTTTGCTGTAGTGACTCATCTGCTGTGCCTCAAAGAAGCAGTAATTGTATCTGCCCAAGGTGCTTCTGGCCTTCTAAATCTGTTTATGATTTAAGACAGCTGATAAATTAGGTATTTAAATCCCATCAACCTTTCATACAGCAGTCTACACCCTGTCTTTTTCTGATGTTTGTCTGAAGAGCTAGAAATATTCTCCTTGAAAGTGAAGCTAATGATGCTGTATTAAACAAGACAATGCTTTTATCCAAAAAGAAAATCATTCTGCGTCTAACAACTATCTAACTTCTGGCCCAGAGCAGTCAGCATTTGTAGAAACAAGCCTAGGAAGAAAGTAATAGTGCTCCTCCTGTCAGGAACGCTGAACTGGAAACATTTGAATTCAAAGAAAATGTACATCAGTGTTTAAAAATACGACTTTGGGCAGGCAGCTGGAAAAGTGTGTTTGCAGAATGACTGCACAGTTAACCTTCTCAGCCCTTGCCTTTCAGTGTGATTCCACACTTTCTATTAATTCAAGCATGTTTTAAAATAGAATTGTCTGATCAGCAAAAGTAATGCTAAGGTAAGCCTTTTCTGGAAAGCATAGTTCAAGACAGTTTGTGCCCAAGGAATACAAGCCTAAAGGCAATTTGCTTTCTCCTAGTACTGAGGACGTCATGCATTGTGCCCAAACTTGTTTTCCAAGCTATCTGATTGGAAGGTCTTCTGCTTTCAGCTTAACTTTAATTCATGTTCATCTTGTAACTGAGAATATAAATTACCTTCTGCCATAATCCATCAATTTATCATGAAATCTTTTTGCTTAGGTTGTCAGTTATCAGCACTAATGAGGACATCAGCTTTGCATCCCTCTGACTCTTAGGCTGATTTTGAAAAACTCAGGTGACAAGTTCTGTTCATTATTATTTTATTTTTGGTTGCTTGTCACACTCTAACTTGACTTGTATTTCAGGAAACAGACTGAAGTATATTCAAAACTGTTTTTTTTTCCCCCTCACTGCTTGTTACTGCTCTTTTTTTTTTTAAGCTTTCCTTCAAGTTAATAATACCAATAGCCTAAGATAGTAAACCGGTTTGATCATAATTACAAAAAAGTCTTCATAGTATAAAAAGATCTTTTCAAGTGCCGCAATTTCTCAGGTTGTCAGAAAAAATAAAATATGCTTCACAAGGGAAGTACCAGCGTGTCCGATAAAAACTTTCAGCCCTTTTTAGGAAGATAGCAGGCATTTCTTCTTAAATCCTGTAACCAAACTGGATAGTTGAGAAGAACTATGGATTCTCCCACCTAGAATTTCTAAACTGTTTAAGTAAATGGAAGCTACTCAAATTAGCTAAGCTAACTGTTTTCAGCATTAGTATTATTTCTACACAGTACTTCCTAAATACAGTCAAGTCTTTAAATTCCTTGATTTGGGGATTTAGTGAGATAAATTAATGTGCATTCACGTCTTTTTGTGACTGGCTTTCCATAAGAAAGTTATTTTCATGGCCTTATCAAAATGTAAGGATACCAAATCATGTCGATTTTAAGAATCAAAATTCATTAATATTTTCCTACTTACTCCTCCAGCCAGTGTCACTTCGTTGGTCTTGATTATTACTACAAACAGGCACACAATTAGGAGGAACGCAGCTGATACCACTGAGTTGAAAATATCCTGAAAAAGGCAGTGGAAGCAAAATATTGTGAAATACACGTCTGAAGAAGAATATGAATAGCTCCCAGTATGGTATAGATACTAAAAAGCTGCCGTTTTACTGTGACAATAGGATTAAACCCGTGTAAGATCAACAGTGACACCCAGTGGCTTCATGGTAAAAGAGCACTCGTGACGGAACATCCTCATTGTCTTCACTTCTCGTTTTTTTTTTGGCAGTCGAATTTATGCAAATTCTCTGTTGCAAGTCTATCTATCTGACAGACTAAAACAGTAAGCAATTTATTTTTTTTTAAAGGGTCGTTAGAGGAGAACTCGTTAATATTTAAGGAAAGTGTGTATTTAATTTGTCATGTGAAAGATGAAAGGGGCAGTATGATAAAGTTAAGCAAATGATACTCACCAGAGGAGGAACTGTTGAAAAAACAAAAAAACACACACCAACAACCCCCTATGTTAACTGATATAAATCAGCTCTTTAGAAGCCTGTGCAAAAGAACACAACAATTGCTGCTAGGCAAACCTGACTCACCAATGAAATGCTATTTTCGCTTTAACTTCATAGAAACCGGGACTGAATTAACCCTGCAAATGAACTCCCTGAGCAGACTTTCATTCAAGATCACAACACGCATAGCACAGGCTTCATCTCGACCGCGAGCCGATACTCACAGCTAAAGGCCAGTATAGCTTGGTCATCTTTTTGTCAAGTTTTAGCAAATACAGTAGAAAGAACAACAACGGGATGATAAATTCTATGATCACCAGCGCTGCGTACGCTTCATGGGCTCTCGAGGCAACGAAGCAGACGAACGCTACGAAGGCCACCAGCTGCGGGAAGAGACGGGAAGGGATGAGCGGACACCCGGGGCTGCTGCCGGCCGCGGGCCGAGCCCCGAGCAGCCCCGCAGCCAGCTCTGCCCGCGGGGCTCCGCAGGTAGCGGGGAGCCTGAGGGGCCGGAGCCGCCCGCTCCCTACCATGCGGCCGAGCTTCAGGGCGCCCCGCGGGGAGCGGGGGAAGCCGGCATCCACCGCCACCATGGTGCAGCAGCCGCGCCGGGCGTTGCCGTGCCGCGATCCGCCGGGCGGGGACCCCAACGGCCCCGCTCCGCCCCGAACGGCCCCGAACCGCCCCGCTGCGTCCCGCTCCGCCCCGCTGGGCGCCCGGAAGCGGTGGCGGTGCGGGTGGCGGTGGCGATGGGCGATGTGGCGGCTGAGCGCGGCCTGGGCGCTGCGCGGGGCGCGGGGGCGGCGCGGCCTCAGGAGCGGCCCGGCGGGCGCGGCCTGTCCCGGCAGGGCGGCGGCGGCGGCGACAGCCACAGCGACAGCGGCCAGCTCCTCGGCGGCAGGCCCGGCGCTGCGCGGCCGGCCCGGCCCCCTCTGCAGTGGCGACTGTAAATCGCGACAGGGCGCGATAAACAGGGCGGGGGGCGAGAGGGGAAAGCGAGACGCGTTTCCCGGTTTTTATTTATTTATTTATTTATTTATTTTTAATCCCGTGTCCCCGGTGACGTTGGTAAAAGCAGCTGCCGGCTCCCTTAACGGGCAGCAGCGAGGTTCTCCTCAGCCCGTCTGTGTGCCCGCCGGGCCCCTGCCTTCCATTGTACGTGCCCCTGTGGCCTCTGACAGGCCTTCACCCTGCGCATCGGCGCGCCCTGGTGCTGGTTGGTGTGGTTTGTGTGCTTCGGGTAAGGGCCGGTAATGGCGGTGCTGCTTGCAGAGATTGGTATCGCGTTGGCAGCATCCAAAAATCTTCGTTCTTACCAAGCCCATGAAGATCTGGGGCCTCGCACTGTGACCCCACAGCAAATAGCAACTACCTGAGGAGCTCAGTGTAGCGGAAGTTTGCTGACGGGGTGTAGGCGCTCACTGTTTGACTCTAGTGTTAAAGTCAACAGAGAACTTAAGCTAAAGCTGTGTCAGTGAACGCTACAGTCTGTCTGTTACATGGTCAAATGATTACCCAAAGCCTTAATGATGTGTAGTGTTGCAAGTGTTCACGTTAGCCAACAGAGAATACAAAAACTTAGTGGAAGAGTTCACAGTAAGAGGCTGAGTATAAATATATGAAGATCTTGGTTGTAACCCCTGTCTTTTTTTTTTCTTCTCATTTTAGATAAACATCTCATAAAAGGAGATGATAAAAAGACTGTTGTAAGTGTTTACTTTTTTTTTTTTTTTTTGAAAAAGAATGTAAAACGTTTAACATCTTTTTATAAGTGTACATGCATTGGCAGCCATTAAACATGTCTGTTCGTTGACCAGTGTCCAGGTGGTGGATCCTTTACTGTGTCTGTTATCTTTATAGATATATGTGAAGACCTAAAGCAGGTTTACATCTGTAAAGATAACAGAAACAGTAAGCCTAAAATGCAGGTTTACGTTTATCTCTGTTAGTTGCAGTACAGTTGTGAAAGATTTTAGCAAGTGCAGGGAATTGCTGAAGGGACAAGTTGCAGTTTGAGGTTGGGTGTTCTGTGCGTAGCATAGCAGTTGCTCTGTACTAGTCTGTGAGCTTTTTTCTTGTATTAGTTTTGTAAATCTCAGTGCCCAAATTTTAAATGTGTAGGCTTCTAAAAGTGCTAAGTTTATAAATCAATTTTAAGACATCTATTTAATGGATATTGAAATTATTACTCCACTTGGCAATTAATTCAAGTTGAAAGTGACGTTTAAGCCTCTGAGGTTGAGATGTGGCAGGTGGTGTAGTGGGAATGTGGGAGGAGCAGCAGCAGGTGACAGTCCTGAAGCCCTCAGGGCTGTGGGGAGGACGTGGGAAGTGGCTGCACACTCAGGGCAGGGTGGTGGAAGGCAGCTGGCTATGTGGGGTGGGGGGGCAAAGAGTAAGCTGCCCCCTGCATTGTAAAGGAACTGCTGGCATATGTACTTTGGGGAGAAGAAAAGGTGGTGGTCTCCGGGGAGCCACAAAATCCAAACTGATCCCTAATGTAGTTCTATAGAATAACCTATTGATTTTATAAGACAGTAGTATACTTTGTATGGAAAAAGTAAGTTTTTACATATGGCGTTTACTTCTTTGCAATAATTCGATTTTAAAGGTGGTACTATTTTTCATCAGATATGTATCGAGGGGAACATTGCAAGTGGAAAAACAACATGTCTGGATTATTTTGCACAGACTACTAATATTGAGGTACTGGATTTGCATTTCTTTATCTTTATTTACATCGTGAAGTGTTTGCTTGTCTAAACAAAATTGACAGTTAATTTAGGACTGTTGTTCCTTCTTGGGTTACTGAGAAAGGAGCAGCACGTTGTGAGCCAGTGTACTTGCTACTGCAAATATTTAGGTATTTATAATCAAGTTGTGGAAGAGACTTTTAGATGATGTGTAGTGTACTACTTGATGCTAAAGTATCAATAAAACATGTAGATTAGAGTTTGTACCTCTGTAAATTGACAGCAGCCCTAATGGGTTGGGCATGTTTGGGCATGTTTGCTTGTATGCCATTTTGTGTAATTAAAAAAAATAATCTTACATTTGTTTTGTAAAAAGCAAAGACATATCAATAACGATGTACAAATATTGATGTAATGTAACAGAGATTCCAGTAAATAGATAAAATAATACATCTATTATAATAATTCCTGGGAATTTCTTAGACCAATATTGAATTTGTTTTCATATTGTTTAGAACAGGATTAAGGGAAAGCTGGGCTTACTGTCTTTTAAACAAGATTTGAGATCAAACCTCAGTAAACAGTTGCTTTTGTGTATGTCAGATGTTCGTACTTTTTGCAGAGGACCTGGGAATACATTTGGGAAAAGGATTCCACACAGAAATGCTTGGTTTCCACATGTTATTTGGTTATTGGTAAATCCTATGGAATAAATAACTAGTAACTAAAAAGAGAGCAAACATTAATTTGCTTGTAGTGCAACATTTTATAATAACACAGTTAATTTCCCAGGTTATCAGATTTTCTGGTTCTACAGTACTCCAGCAATTTTAGACCGTCTGTGAATTATATGAGTCTTTCGTGTTTTTACCTGCTCTAGTTAGAAGCTTTTCCTGATTATTTTTAAACATTATAAAAGTTTTGAATGCATTTTGACTTTTAGATCACAATAATAAACCTGAAACTAGCACAATGGCATTCTCATCTTCTCTTCCTTTGCTAAGAAATATTATTCTCTGGGAAATCAATTTGTGAAGGAACAAACAGGTCATTGAAATGCAGTTGGCACTCAGCTAGCCATTCTTTCCCCTACATCATATTGATAAGTGACTTGAAAAGTGAAATTATATCTGGGCCTGTAATCAATCCAGTGTTAAATTTTGAAGATTTAAAAATAATAAAAAGATCATGATAAGAAACTATATTTGTCTTTTTTTTTTTTTTTTAAGTGTTCATTGTTATATTTTGTGTTTCAGGATTCAGTGCTCTTTATTAAAGAGGGATGAACTTTTCAGTACATGTCCTGAATATTCTGACTTACCAAGCGAGTATTCATTAAAAGTAGTTGTAGACTTGTAGGGTCAAGTAAGTATTTCAAATCTAAAGGATGTTTAACATGGATTTTTTTTTTTTTTTTTAATAAGGTCTTGACAGAACCGGTGAATAAATGGAGGAACGTTCGTGGTCATAATATCCTGGTAAGTGATAGAAACAGATTGCACAGTTACAATAACTATTCATTTTAGAAAACACAAATGATGACTTCTTACCATTTAGTAAAACTGTTATGAAAGGTGTGGTTGTAATTTCATACATCAAGAAAATAAAGCTCTGTGATGCAAAAATCACTTTTACTGTGATTAAGGCATGCATATAGTAAACACATAGAATATTAAATGTTGTTTCAGCAGGGCTTGTGAATTTTTATCTTTGCCTAGCTGAGTGATGAGGGGCAGTGTACTCACGGAGTGCCTGCTTTCAAAACACCAAAACTCTGCCAAGTGTGACTTGGCTGCATGAAAGGGATTGTAAGTAGAGGTCCAGGCATAATGCTAGATTATACACTTGTTTTACTGGGTACAAGCTGAAGAATTTCACAGAAAGCCACAAATACATAAGCCATAAAATACAACTTAAAAACATAAAAAATATAAAAAATATAAAAATATATAAAATATATGTAATATATAAATATATAAAATATAAAATATATAAGAGAAAAAATATAAAAACATAAAAAATACAACAGCATAAAAAGCCATGAATACAACCGTGACAGTTGTATTTAAACCAACTTAAATGTATTTCAAAGAAGGGAATAATGTCTTTGCTATTAATCTGCCTCAGAAAACAAGAGGTGGATTTCATCAGTTAACATTGTTAGACTGCTAAAGATAGAAAATTTAGTCCTGGGAGTTGAGAGTTTCTGCTCTCTTCAAGGTGGTTACCAATTGTAACCATTCCCTGTGGGTAAGTCACTTGGTCACTTCTGTGCTCTGAGACAGGAACCTAAGGGCTCTGACTATATCCACAGATACACTTTTGCTGGAATGGTTGGTTTGTGATGCCAGCCTTCCTTGCTTGTATGATCACCTCCATTGCAAAAAAACTAATTCCTGGCCAAGATCAGTGCCCAAGCTCATCTGGAATTTGCTGTCAGCACAGCATTGTGGATACACCCTAAGCCATGTGTGCTTAAGCATGTATTTGTTACTGTTACTGCCAGCGTAGGTCCTGTGGAAAAGTTGATTCCCCTGTGAGGATTTGCTGATGCTGTGCTTTACTGTTACTAGTAAAAGGGTGAGGCATGCTTGGTTGTGTCATGTCTCATCCCAGCAATCTGTATTTCAAATTAGTTTTTCGTTCTGATCGTGAACAGGGAGAAAAAGAGGTCAGATTTATGGACTGAAACGATGCTACTTCAGTGAATACACTGAATGATGCTTTATTTCAAGTTAGATCTTCTAACTGCATCACAGGAGGGACTGGTGCTTGTAAATGTCGGGGGGAATTGAAGCAGTGAGAAGGAGAATCTGAGAAATCTCAGAAAGTCATCTGAGAAATGCTGTGAGGGTCCCTTGGGGGCGGGGGGGGGAGGACTTTTTAAGAGTCTGTCTGAAAATCTATCTTTTCTGAGGCCTGAGACGTGCTTACTGGAACCATAGATGTGTTTCTGGATGGACGAGAGTCTGGAGTATTACGAGAGAGTCTGTCACTGCACAAAAATGTAGTATCAGATACGTTTTTAATTAGTAAATGTATTGCTGTAGTGCATAGTTTTTGAAGTACACAATTTCAATTTTTGTTGTTCAACCTTAACAACAATAACAAACAAAGAACACAAAACAAAACAAAAAATAGAACCCACTTCTGTCTTGCTTCTATCTCTAACCCCAGGGCTTAATGTACCAAGATGCATCCAGATGGGGGATAACATTACAGACTTACATACAGCTTACAATGTTGGAGCAGCATACTAGACCAATGGTAAATAAGTGTGTTTTTCTTATAGCTTAAAGAACTTAACTTATGAAAAAGTTGGTAAGATGTGGTTATGAATAAATATTTCTAATAAATATTTCTTTTAATCTTGTATCTGAAAATTAGGATTCTCTGTGTATTCTTTGTTCTTGAAGCGTGTATGCATTTTTCATGCAAAGATACTGTTGTTATGCTCTACACATGCTCCAGAAGGGTGAAACACCTGCTTCCTATCTGCTCAGATCCTTTGCTTCCCAAAAGTAATACTGCTTCTTTTGCATCACCCTTTAAGAGGTAGACTTGCAACAATAGCTTCATCACATGCTAATGACTTGTCTGTATTGACCTTATATAAACATAGTTATTTCAAACCTTTGTCATGTTTTAATTAATAATCAAGATGTTCCATTGCTGTCTAGCAGAAATTTAGCTATTGTTTCTCATGTTTATCCAAAATATTTCCACTCAAATTTTATCTGTTGCTTCACTTCAGCTGGTTTATGCCCTTTTTTTCTTTTACCTTCTTTTTCTCTGTTAAGTATTTCATACCAGTGCTTTTCTGTTTTTCCAGAATGATAAAAATCTCATTCTGTTGTAGAAAAAGCTCATAAAAAATTCCTAAGGATTGTTCAGCATTTTAGTCTGTACTTTGCTGCCACTTGAAATTCGCTGAAACAAATGATGATTCCATGGTGATTAACATGCAGAATACCTGATTGAAAAGAGCACTTCCAGGATGGCATTGCTCTGCAGGAATCAGAACGTGTCAGAGAATGTCTTCTCCAAAATGGAGCACTGTTTGAACACATGCAAGAGTGGCTAAGGCAACCATTCTTTGTCAGTGATTTCTTTGGCATCTGGGGGGTAGAAGAACACTTGAGACAGCTTTAAAGTGGTGGTTTCTTGCTACAGTTTTTCTGATGTAAGCTCTGTGCTATTGAGACAGTAACAAACTTCAAGATGGCAGCAATTCAAGTAGCAATAGTTTTTGTTGCTCTCTAAGTCCTAAGTGGATTGCTGCTTATTTTGTACTTCAGCTGCTGTGTTGAGTACTTCTGTAGCTAACTCGAAACTTGCATATGAATAAAATTTAATTACACAGGTGTTTAACAATGTAGTGACCACAAATAAGATTTTTTACACTTGGTTTTTATGTTCCCCTTCCCCAGTGATTTTTCTTATTATGGGATCTGGAAGAGCTGAAAATGTTTTGTATTTCAGAATGTACAGGACATTATGTGCAGTAAGAACTTGAAAAGACACAAATGCTGATAAAATGTAAACTAGTTGGTGACTGTCAAGTTTTATTTTGTAGATTTCCCCGGTAAGAATGATGGAGAGATCAATTCACAGTGCAAAATACATTTTTGTAGAAAATTTATATCGAAGGTACAGTATATTCTGCTTTTATTTTCTGTGTTTAAATGAATAAAAGCGTCCAATGATTTATTTGGTAATTTGTATCTAAATAGTGTGTGCTTTTGTGCCACTCTGTGTTGGAGTGGCTGTGTGCTTTGTACAGGGCCTGCTGTCCACTGGCAGAGTAAAATCTGGAGGATGTGGGACAGGTGTCAGCATTCTTCACAAGCGCTCTTGTCTTTAGAACATCTTAGCATTTACAAAACTGTTAATTGAAGTTATCTGCTCTCCAGCTGAATATACAAGTCTTGCTTAAATGAAAGCAAACAAATACTGAATAGCTCAAAAAACATGGGGCTATGAAGAATACTATAGGAGAGAGGGAACGAGATAGTATTATCAAACCTAGCATCCAGGACTGTCATGTCTTGCAGGTAGGAACTCAAGCAACAAGCATTCTATCCCTCACATGGTAATGCTCAGAATCAGGGTTCACAGGATCAATACAGACTCAAAACTCTTTGGTCGGTGAGTGAGTAAAGAAAGAACAAGAACTGTTTGTCTATAAATGCCATTTTCTGAATTGAGGTCTTCCTCCCAGCCCTCCAAAATGTGCTTAGTGCAGTCATAGAGCAGCTGGGTCTAACCTTTTTTTTGTTTTGGGGCCCAGGGTAAAAAAAAAAAAACAAACACGTTTATTACCTGGCCTGTGTATAACTCATCCACTCTGTACTAACTAAATAGTGCAGCAATCAGCACAGGTATTTTTATAATGCTGATTGTATATTGAAAATACGTAATGTTGTTTTATTGTTTTTTTCACTAGTCTTATGGGACAAAATCAGTTTCTTGGCCCTGTGTGCAGGGAGGACAGTGGCACGCCACAAGATGGCACCCATGCTACGTAAGCTTCTAGGCATTTATTGAACTAGTTCGAAACTTTACGGAGAGAACAGTAAGATGCAAGGCAAACAGAAACAGGAAGAGACATTATTTATCCCAGTCTGTATACAGTGGGAGTGTAACTGGAATGCCAGTCTTTTTTTTTTAAATTAGCAACATTTTATTCATGGTAGACAAACTGCTTTTGTCCCAAGAGAAACTTGGCTGCTATGATGCAAAGTCTGCATGTCAGCTTTGTGTTAATTTTGTAATAAAATTTTTAATGGTGTCTAAGATGTTTTGTTGCCTCAGCAATTTTTAATGTTGGACAGAAGGCACTTGTTTTGTAAATGTAAAGTCAGTGATCAAAGATGCATCACATTAGTCATTCTGAATTGTGACAATCAGTCTGAAGTTAAGTATTTGTCAGGGAGGTTTTTGGAGACTTTCCTGAACAATTTTTCATGGAGGTGCAGGAGCTGGTGATTGTAACGTGGCAGGAAATCCCACGTAGGAGAGACAGTGAGAGGGGAAGTGTTAGGGTGGAAGGACGTTCTCATGTTGGATCAGTTTTTGGATTGCTGCTTTGGTTCAAAGGGAGAGTATACTCAATTGTTCAGCTTAGCTGACAAAATTTCAACTAAGATGGAAGGTACTAAGTTGAAAAGCAGATACAGAAAATATAAACACACCTTTTATTATATTTAATATATATAACTTCTATACATATAACTTCTATATGTATATTTTATATACATATGTGTGCATATATATATATATATCTAAATTGATTGATTACAAAATAATGCGAGCATTGTGTAGTTCAGAGAAAAGTGTATTTAATTCTTGGAAGTATCTGGCAAAAAGTTTCCAGGACAGAAGGAAATACTAGTGCTTCTGTACGGAGCTTTTAGGAGGAAACACTACTTTTTACACTTCTTAATGCTTACGCATGATCTGTGAACTAAAACTGAAAACAGGTGTGAAGCTGGGATACTGGAATGATCAAAAGAACCGAAAGCCTGTTTAAAAAGACAAAAACAGTGCCATATTCGTACAGAACAGTTGGGATAATCACTTGTCATCTATTGGCACACCAGCTGCAAACAATAAAAATGGGAAAGAGTGATATTTGAAGAATATAACAACAGAAGAATAATTAGATAGATAAAAGCTGTGGATACATTAGATGCTGAAAAATTAGAAGATAGTGTTATTTCCAGCAGAAGAACAAAGGGAAAATACAAACTTCAGGCTTGGTAAATTTACGTAGAAGGATAATAGTACCCTGTGGCAGGGAAAAGGCCTTGTAACTTAGAAAGATTACTTCCCATGCTATGTTTCTTGTTAGATTGCTGCATGAGAATTTAAAAAATCATGTTGTAACTCAATAGATTTGGCAAAGGAAAATGTCTTTGTATCCATCCAAATGCTTTTTCTCTCCCCATTAGTGTTCCGAGAAGGAAACTGCTGTCTGTAGGGTAGTGTTGTTAATTATTACATAGGTTAATAAACATGCAAAAGAAGCTTGCAGAGAACACAGAATGTTGCCCATTGTAGAAATGGAATTATTCCTGACAGATTAAAGGTCTGCAAAACAAAACTGACCTCACATCTTTAAATTTTACTGAAAATTTTATCAGAAAAAGCCTTCAGTCTCATGCTGCTCAACAGATATTTTCAGGTGTGTGGAAGGCTTCCCATTAAATTTAAAATAAAGTCTCAAACTGTATGCTGTAAGCATGCTACAAAGATCAGTTTTTTTTTCTGCTTTCTTTTACGTAAGAGAATGTATTGCCTAGGGTTCTGGTCTTAAAATGCAGAATTCCTTTTTATTCCTGGTCTATACAAGTCCTCCTCCTTTAGGTGAATGTTTAGTTGAAGCAAAGGATGAAGAGCTTTGGAATATCAGGAATATGAGCTCTTTGATCCAGTGTCACTCAGTATTTGTGTTTTGGCTTTGCAGGCTTTTTCCCAGAGAGAGAGAAATAGCATAAGATTTACGACGATGATGGAAGGCTTAAATTTTGAGCCATTTCTGAGAGCTTCCCCGGCATGCACTGACTGCATGAGTGTCCAAGTTCTTGTTGTGATTGCACATCTGAGTTTAGCACTGAAAGACACGCTCATGTTAGGTGTAAAACTGTAGAAGATTTTTAAATGTGTGCACGTGAGTATACATGGTATGTTGCAGGGTAAGCGCTCGCACTTTGTCCCATTTGAATTCATAGGTATTTATAATTCCTTTTGCGGTAAACCCTTTACTTGGTAGGAGTCAAATGTCAGTAAACTTTTCAAAGATGCAGTGAAACCTGTATCATTAGGGACCTTGAGCCCGATACAGAATCCTCATGTGATTATCCAGGGGACTCTTCTGACACAGGGAAGGCAAAGGCATGTTGTCCTCAGGGGAGGTCAATGCAGAACTGATGTGGATGTATCCTTTAGGGTAAGAATGGAGTTATTATTTATTTTTTTTTAATATTCTTATTTCTAATTTCTTTTGAGCTTCCTGTCTTCCAGAGTAAAGCAGCAGAATCAGTGTTTAGCTTACTTATATAAAAAACGTACACTTACTGATGCATTAGAGGAATAGCAGTGAATGGGAAGATATTCAGCTGGATGGCAGATAAAAAAGGGAGGTGGTAGGAATACTGGTTTTGCTTTCTTGCATACTTAAGTGGAAGTATCTTTCTGGATTATCTTTATTTGGTTTTTCAAGTAATCAACATGTTGCCAGGAGAATGGTTGAGAAATCTGTAGGATCTTTTTATTCAGCAGTATTTAAAATGTTGCAATTGTTTTTAATCATTCAGGTGGAAAGGACAGGTGTCTCTCAATACCTTCCTCCTTACTTTATTTCTGTTACAGAGGCATTTAGGGAAAAGAATAGAGTATGTATTACTGTAATCAATTTCGAATACAGAATAATCTGAAACTAGTAATATTTGACTATTTAGGAATATGGTAATATGAGAAAGCTCTGATACCAGTAGAAGTAATGTGATCCTTAATATATCATCTGTAGACTACCTTTTACATGAGTTGTTTGAGATTTTATTATTCTTATTGAGATAACTTTTGGGGTAGTTGTCTCCAATATTGTCTGTGTGTTCTGAATACAAAGTTCAAATTAAGCATGCTGAATATTTCAGGACACAAATATTTCTTACAGTAGGAGTTAATTTTATTTACATGGTGTCATTATTTTTTCACTGCTCTTTACTTTGGCTTCTATAGTGAAATGTCATTGCTTCTGAGTAAGTCAGGACTTTCTGGTGTCATGCAGTTCAGATATATTGATATTATTCTGATGTAAGAAACATGAGTAATAAATATAATAAAGATCATTGACACTCATTTGTTATTATTGTATAAATGTCACTTTATACCACTACATGATCACGTTTTTTCTTCTTAGTCATCAAGTAACTATTTCTTAATTGTGGTAGGAAACATTATTCATGTTTGTAATTGTTAATAATAGAAACTTTATGCTAGTCAGTGTTTTTAGGAAGAGGAAAAATTTGGACTTCTATTTGTATAGACAATGCTTTGTAAGGCCTTTAATGTTGGTTTTGTTTTCATTTCACATATGCTGGAATAAATTAGGAGTAGTTAAAGAAAAAAAAAAAAAACAAAGACAAAAAAGCAACAGTCCATATGAGTTTAAAATTGATCTTTGTGTATTGTTCAGTGAATGATGACTTTGTTTTTTTCAGCGGGAAAATGCCAGAGGTGGATTACGTTGTCCTAAGCGAATGGTTTGACTGGATCCAGAACAACACTGATGTTTCAGTTGATTTAATAGGTAAAATTTTGATGGGATCTGGTGGGGCACATTTGTGGGTGGGTGGGATTAAAGTGGGTCTTTAATCTGAGGAGAAAAAGTACTTTTTTTCTTCATAATCACATTATTAATTATCATAGTGGCTATGATGTGTATCATAAGACAGTACGAATTCATGGATGTTTCAGAGGTTGATTGATAGTAATGCCAAAGGGGAGGTTCAGTGGTGGTATCCAAATCAGGATCCTTTTCTTCTTTAATTTGTGAAGTTTCTTCTTTGCTTTTAAAGCTGATCCTTGAATGTAACTATTATTTACCTATATATATATTATATATATATTTTATTGACAGTTTACCTGCAGACTTCTCCTGAAGTTTGTTATGAGAGATTAAAGAGAAGATGTAGAGAAGAGGAAAAAATAATTCCTCTGGTAAGGAGTTCCTTTGATAAATGGGGTTACAATGAGCTTGAAAAACATGTTAATGCCAATGTAATGCTCAAATCGTATCCTGAGTGTATTTCCAAAATTAACTGCAGATGTCTGGAGGAGTTGGACTTCATCCTTGGAGACCCCTTCCAACTTGGGATATTCTGTTCTGTTTCCAGAATCGAATAACTTCATTATTCGATTTTGGCTTACTTTATAAAAATGATCTGTCGTGCATGCTGACTTTCCCAAGCGTTATGTTTTAGTAATCAGTGTATTATAGCTGAATGTTTTAGTGAAGTATTAATCAACTGTTCATCTTCTCCAAGATATAAAAAGCTAATTGTTTTTTGTATTACTAAATAGCATAAAGGCACCCTTTTGAAGCACAGATACTCGTGCATGCAGATGCTGAAAATTATGTGGGCACTTATCATCTGCTATTACCAGGAAGTTTATGCTTGAAGAGTGTCTCTGCTTGTGTCTCAAAACAAGCAACATCTTGAAAGTAGTTAGTATCTGGGAACCTGCTTAAAAATATATCAGTAGAATGGTCGCTTCCTGTGTCACAGGTTACACAATAGCTTCTCACTGAACAGGCTTTCTCCTAAAGAAATCCTGAATGGAAATAAATGTAGTTGTAGGAGACATGCCGTATATTACAAGGTTATCTACTGTTGTATAGTTCAGTAGAAGTAATTGTTAGTTCAATGTCTATGCAAAGGTACATGCAAAAAGCTAGATTTTGGGCCAGATTTTTTTGCCTCGGAGAATAAATTCTTGCTTGGGTGGATTTGAAGAGACGTTGTGTTATGTTGTAGCTCTACTGAGGGGCAGGAGGGGGAGAAGCCAGTTGGAATGAAAAATGCTAAGTGGTCTCCGTGAAAAACATCTAGTAGTTGATGAGAGGCAGAAATGCTTTTAGAGGAAACTAAATCAGTTAGGAGAAATTGAACTGGCAGTATTAGGAAAAACATTGACACAGGAAGTGCCTTCAGTATGTTTTCTTTGCAGTCTTACCCTTTTTGTCCTTACCTCCCTTCGCTGTGTTTTTCTCTGAAAAATCTTGGGCCAGGTTATACCAGTGGGACAGAAGCACGGTTTTTGATCTTACAACGTGCTGAGAGCCCTGTGCCCTTCTAAACTCTGTCTCTTTGAGGTTCTTCATGGAATAAAACCATATACTTGGAATTAATTTTTCTCACAAGTTTTTTCTCAGATTTAAGTTTTTGTTAGTGGAACTATCTGATGCTTGTTTTCATGTGTAGTTGTTAATTTCTTAACAAACATACAAAAATTGCTATGTGTTTCATCCCTGGGAATGTTTGTTAGCTGAATGCCTCTTTTCTAGGAATATTTAGAAGCTATTCATCAGCTCTACGAGGAGTGGCTCATTAAACATACCTTATATACAGTTTCCTGCCCAGTGCTTGTGAGTATAATTTTAGTTATAACCAATTAAGCACATGGATTATTGTACTCTTTAACTATTAAGAGAGATAATTAGTGGTAAAAATAAATAAAGCTGCTTTTTTAATAACCTTTGGAGAAAGAAAATGTCAGAAAAATGTTTACAGCTATCCACAGAGAATAGCGTAAGTCTGGTTGTTACCACATAGGTGGAATGTAGGGGGCTGTTCACTTCTGATTGTTTGTAGGATCAGACACATAGCTTTTCAGTGAATGCCAGATTCTGAACAGAGAAATAATTAAATGGATTTCTAGGAATCTACTGAAAGTATTTCATTCTGGCTTCAGTGGTAGTCTTATTTTGCTCAAAAGCAAATAAATATTGCGATGACGTTATTTCTAATGTTCATGTTCTTGTTTTCAAGGTTATTGGAGCTGACCATGACATGCAGAAAATGATAGAAAAGTATGAAGAAAACCGGGACCAAATACTAAATCCATATAATATGCAACACCATTTATAGAAGTCTGTGGTACTTGTATTTTAAAACAAACAAACAGTGTATTTATAAAGTCCTGTTCGGGGGCAATTTTGAGTATTTGCAGTACTTCTGAATGTAAATGTTTCTACTTTAGCATTATGCTTTGTAGGATGTTATGGACTTCCCACTATGAAATGTTCCGAAACAGGTCACAAACAGAATATGCTCCAATTCCCTTCCACGTTTTTAGGTTCTCCGTCTGCTTTTCTGTGTTGATGCTGTTCTGTTGAAATACGTTTCTTTCTCCCATGTCCCACTTACTGCTGTTTCCTATAAATAACCTAAGTTTCTTCTTTTTTTTCACCATGACAAAGCTGTTTTGTAATTTAAAAGAAGTAGTTCCATACAAAAGGTGGGATGTCATGTTTTATTAGAAGGAAATGAAGTGCATCGCATTAAAGTAGGTTTGTAAAACAGGTCATGTCAAAATAGGGTGTGTGGGTTTCTTACTTTTAATCCCACATACACTACTGAATTTCACTGAATTCATTTTCTTCTGCTTTACATGAAATCACAGTATAGTTTTGAGATAGCTATGTATCAGCAGAGCCACAATGAATTCAGTGGCAGAAGAGTAACATAGTTTTTGTGACTAGGACTGTAGAATGGCTCTGAGGCCGCCTTTTTTAGGGTAGGTTTTTAAAAGGGCTTCTCTATTTTCCATGAAATCACCTTATTATGGCTTACATGAGGACTAGTGAAAATACAGTGTGCACAGAACTCTGTTATTCCTTTCAAATGGTGATATAAGTAGTAGAATTAATTGATTTTTAACTGCTTTGGATTCTTAAATGTTTGAGTGTTTTTGTTGTTGTTGTGTTTTTTTAATAAAGAAAAATGCACTGAGTTCTTTCAGATTACACCTTGATCAGTTTATTGTGGCTTACAGGTACTCGGACAGTAGAGAAATGGGGGGGGAGGTAATTCTTGTGGTTGTTATTGTAAGCGTTAAGTTGCTCTGCATTTCCATGTTACCCTCTTCAGTGTTGTCTTCAAGATAATGCTTTTAATGGAGCAGTTATGACTGTTTTTGCATTGCTTTTTCTGTTTAATTGGGGGGGGGGTAATTTCTGAAGTACGGTATAACTTTCATAACAACTTTGATTGGTTTAATTTGCACAAGCAATGTTAACAGTACTTTAAAACACACTTGGATTAATGTTGGTGAGCATCTGTCATGGCTTTGTATTGAATGCTCCTGAAAATGGCTAATCTTCAAGACTTTAGTTAGTACTTCCATCACTAATTGCCTAAATGTCTGTAACTTGTTGACAGTAATTTTCAGTTACTTGACATTTTCATGTTTCATGTGATTTTGAACAATATTTTATTGTATTACTTTTTGAGATCACATCTTTGATTTTGTAGTTTTGTGGTAGCTGTACCTGAAATGACTGCACCTTTTTCCAAATCAGGAAATGCAGTTCATTTCTTCTTGTTATTACCATCTGGCGTTTTTCTTTTTTCCCCCAAATCAGTACAACTTAACAGTGATCAGTGCACTGAGCATTTCTTAGTGAAGTACTGTATTAGTATGCTAAAGCTTGTGAACCCAGTTGCTGTTCTGTTGTTATGTTTTAAAGCTTTAGAATTCTATCTTAAAAATAAGATCTTGCATGTTAAATAATTATCTTATTGATGTTTATTTGTGTAGGAGTAGTGGTCGTGCTTGAAACCTTCTGTTAAACTTTCCAAGTTTTTTTTCTTCTATAAGAGACCAAATGAAATATTTCTCTATAAATATTTCTGTAAGTTTCACTCATTTTCAATTTGATTATGGCTTGTAGGAGCCAATGATAAGTATTTTGTATGCTAGCTTGGCAGTCTAGAAAAGAGCACTTAATTGTTTTGTAAAGAGAATCCTGTGGTACAGAGAATCTTACTGTCATCTTTTTGCATTTCAAAGCAATTTGGTTTTGAACAGATTTTTATTTTTTTCTTCATGATCACAACAGGAGTTTGAACAGGAGTTATTGATATTCATAATTATAATGAAAGATGTAGGAAACAACTACATAATTTATTAAAAATTACAGATTCAATGACTACAGAGTATGTTTTACTGTCTTTTGCCGTCTGTTTTCATAAATAGATTTCCATGTATTTGGGGTATGTATTGAGAACTGGAAACAGAAGCAAACAGCTTGTTAGTTATATGTCATGAATGCACAATGTTTGCAGTCAGCTATAGATGTGTAGATAAAAATACTGCAGGAATCATAAATAGGTGTTTTTAAACCTGGAACTTGCTTTCTCTGAAATTTCTCTGTTCATAAGGGTGAGAATAAAAAGGACAGTCAGCATTATTCTGATATGATTTTATTCCTTTTTGAATGTCAAAGAAGGAATGATGGGGCAGCAAGTTGGAAAGTATCATAGAAAGCATTCTGGGTTTGTAGGCATGCTGAACTTCCGTACCAGTGGAATAGTTCCTATAAACAAGCTGCCCCTTCTCTTGACTTTCAAGATGTGGTCTGTAACTTGGATGTGGCCTATATCTGTAGACTGAACAATGTGTAACTGTTTTTTGTGTGTTTTGGCTATCCTGCAGTGTGTTGAAGGAGTGCATGAGATAATTTATTAAATTTTCCTATATTGTTTTTAATTTAAATCTAATAGAGTGCTAAGGTTTACATCAGAGCATCTTCATTGTGAATGGTGAGAATCATTCTCACTCTGAAAGTTTCAGATTACCTAGATTTTATTTAAGTAATTTAACTTCTTGCAGAAATGACTGGTGAGTCAGTTAGCCTTCGTGGTGTTGTTTCCCAATACCTAGGTAGCTAGTAGTGGCTACCTCTTGGAACAGTGTGCAAATAATTTAAGATTTATAAATTTTGACATCTCATCCCAATGAGTTCCACATCTAAACTGCAAACTTTGTAAAAAGTGATTTTCTCCTTATGTATTATTTTTTCTTTATTTCATACTTAGTCTGGCTGCATATCTTCTCCAGACTTTGGTATTGACCTTGTTGTGGTCAAGGTGTCTTAGCAATCAGTACCATCTGGGAGCAGCGTGTCAATTGACTTGAAGACAGACTGGCAAAAAATCAAAATGTTAAACAGTTGCATTCTTGTCATCTGGCCTTTTGTGTACTCTCTTCTAGCATGGGAAGCATGTTTAGACTTCACTTGTTTGACCAAATACTTCAGAGTTAAATGTCCAAAACTGTAGGTCCTAAGAAGCCTTTGAACTTAGGTTCACTGCTGTAATTAGCATACAGAACTACTGCCAATGCCAGGAACTAATCCAGCATCTCTCTTCATGGAACGCCTTCCTGCAGAGATGGGGCATTCTGCCATCAGTTGCAATTAAAACGTTCAGACTTGAAGCTTTTTGTCCCTCTCCTGAATATTGGCTCTCCTAGCAAGTCACTGTCCTGACTTTGAGAAAACAATCCTTCCTGTAGAGTATGGAGGTTTAAGTAGACATTACACATTTATACAATTCTAAAACAGGATCAAGTCAGCTGAGGGTTTTATTTTTTCATTTTTTTACAGCACTTGGTTAATTGCAGCATTTGAGGAGGCTAACAGTTGCAAGTTTCTGAAAAGTAAGAGTTATTTTCAGAACAGTATCTAGTGGTTTGTAGATTAATTCCTATGTAAGAGAAATGGAGTCTTCATGTCTAGCTGACATGGTATCTTCATTTATCTTTTTTTTTTTTTTTTTTTTTTTTTTTTTAAGAGAGACTGGCTTGTGATAGTTATTTGTGCTATATTAGGATCAGGGCACCATTTTGCTAAGTGATGGGTAAACATGCTCCTACCAGTGATCTGTCTCAGAACACATACAGAGGTCAAACAGGAGAGTGGCAGAATAGAGAAACACTTTTTTACTTGTCTTTTGTACATGCTACTTGATCTTATTTTTATGTCAGGGGGCTTTGAGGTGAATCTTCTGCTCCACCCTAGAGTCTGATAGCAGTGCATCCCTCCACGGTAAATACTAAGTTATTAGGACTGTGAGTATGCTGCTCTGCAGATGTCACTGTATTCCATTCCTATTCCTATACACATTCCTATTCCACAACCTGTGGTTTATAGGAATTCTTATAGGAATAGGAATTCCTATAAACCACAGGTTGTGGGTTTTTTATTTTTTTTGGTCCTTTTACTATTTAATGCTGTGAAAATGAGCCACGTAGGTATTTGATCGTCTGTCTCACTTAGAGAACTGTGCCATTAAATTTTCAGTGGGTGGACCCTGTAGCAGTGGTGGTCGGTTACTGGTTCATCTCTGTGTTTAGATACTAGGTTAAATAAATGTGATATTTCAGAGAGTTTTTTTTTTTCTCTTTGCATCAACTCCAACAGTACAGACATTTATCTTTGCAAGTGCTTCGCAGTCCCTCTCAGGTATGCTTTTGTTTATGTCTTGGGGATATATTGTTTTTGACCTTTGCTTATAATCTGACACAAATTGTAGTTGTTTGTTCATTCAGGGCCTGCATGCTGGGCATTTTTGTCTTCCCAATGAAATTTTGTTCTTGGATTTATAAACAAAACAGTTGATTCTAAAGCCAAACTGTTGAGCACCTTAGCTCCAGACAGGGCAAAAATGCACGTGTGATATGAATGCTAAGGGGAGGGAAAATGACTATTCTGAGACGTGTGGGGGAGAGGTGGTGTGATTGAATAGTATCATTCAGCAACTGGTTCTGCTGCCTAAGCTCTGTGTCTGCACAGATCAAAAGAGAATTTCTCTAATCCAAGGCTTGGGAGAGCTGAGCCATTCAAAGTGGTTGTGCATAGCATATAAATTTGGGAACAAAGTTGGCCTTGTGTCTCTATAATGGAAAGCCATAAAAAACAGTAAATCCCCATTCAATTCATTGACAATCAGGACCAGCTGTAGCACAATTACAGTTGACAGCACACAAGGGGATGGGCACACACTTCACAAACACAAATCACCCTCCTTTGGAAAGAGTCTCAGGCAGCCCTCTTGCTGGCTAGCAGTGCTGCTGAAGTGGTTGCTCTCATTTAAGTCAATTAGCCAAGGAGAGGTGCAGTGGGCATTAGTAACAAGGACAGGAGGGCACTAGCACACAGGGTCAGAAATCACAGTCCCTTTTGTCTGTTCCTCTTCTCAGGTCTAACTATATGTGCAAGTAGGATTTTAAGCCCAGTTCTGCCTTGCCGATGTGCAAGCAGTTGTACAGAAGACTGTTGCCCCAAGGCTGAATATTACTTTTCTTTCAGTTGGTTTTCAACTCCAGTCTTTTCACAAGTATCTCTACCAGTAAAGCTGTTGTCTCTAGAGACACCAGAACTTAGCAAAGACAGTGGTTTCTAGTACAAGACCTCAAAAAAACTACTGTTTGCATAGGAAGAGAAGTTAAAGATGTCCTTGTGGCAGAAAGAAACTCAGATGAAAATATTCAGGTCCTGTAAGTGGACAGTAGCTCTCCCTACAAAGGCAGGCAGAACACTTAACAATCCTGGCCAGTCTGACACAGAGAAGAGTGATCCAGGTACAAAAACATGAACAAAAAGTAGATTCTCAGAGCCCTTTTATATTCCATAAATGTTGTGCAGTTTAACTGTTTCTTTGGTGGGCTTCATGCAGAAAAAAGATACATTAATATTACTCATGTCATAATCTCCACCAGCACTGCTGTGATTTGGTGGAGCTACGGGCTGTGGTGCTTTGTCAGCAAGTCAGCTCTTCAGAAAGACCCTACCTGTATTTTGTTTTCCCTCTGTCAGGTTGCCCATGAGCTCCTAGACATGGAAAACACTGGTCCAAAACTCTGCACAAAATGGGGCAAAGTAAAGAGCTATGTCCTATGCCAGATATACCATGAAGATAGAAGCAATTGCGAACAGGCCTGTCAGGGGAAGTTGAACATTTAAAGAGTGGCAGCTAATCGCAGCAGATGTTAACCGTTTAAGCCCAGCAGTAGGGCAGTAATGGAGTTAAGATGCTCAACATGGTCTATTTTCAAGTGGTAGACTTCAGTTTCCTCTTGCAGTGTTTTCACATGTGTAAGCTGCTGTTAATACCTTATGGCTACAGGTAAGATTAAAATGGGATGTTAGGCGTGTGGATCTGTAATACTGGTGGTCACACAAATACTTGAGGCATCTTCATTTGTAAGGGGTTTTAGCAGTTTTAAATTAGCATTCTGAATATTTGACACACCGTAAGATTTAAAGCACAGCTTTAATAACCCCCCACAAGGAGGAAAATGTATCTTAGAAAAAACAAAATGATTAGGAAGAACACACAAATACCTAAAAGAAGCGCAAGGAGGCTGTGGTGGGTTGACTCAGTGAGTAGCTAAGCACCTATGTAGCTGCTTGCTCACCTCCCTGCATGACAGGAACATAGAAGAGCAAAACCAAGAAACTTTGGGGTTGGAAGAGGTTTAGGAAGTGAAGGGAAGAGGGGAAGGAAGAAGTGATGCAAAAGCAGACAAAAAAAACACACCACCTTCCACTATCCCAGTTTTATTGCTAAGCATGATGTTACACGTTGTATCTCTTTGGCTAAGTTCAGTCAGCTGTTCCAGTTGTGTCCTCTCCCCATCCCTTGCCCACCCCCAGCCTACTCAGGGGAGTGGGGGCAGAATGAGGAAGAGAGAAGGCAGCGGCGCTGTGCAGGCACTCGTCAGCAACAGCCAGAACACTGGGGCATCATCAGCAGTTGTAGCCACTACTCCTAAACACGCCACTGTGCAGGCTGCTATTAAGAAAGTTAACTCCATCCCAGCCAGACCTCGTACAGAAGTATTAATCTGTGTGCACGTTCACAGTATCTGCTTATCCTGCTCCTCACCACCATCCAAAGCTGAAGGCAGTCTTGCCCTGATGACAGGACTCCAGCAATTAGTTGTTCAAAAACTAATTGGGTACCCCGGGGGGGATTACAAATAAAGCACTGTTAGATCAAGTGTTCTGGCACAACATTCCTTGGTCACTTTTGTCAATAATGACATAAGGCTCCTGGATTTCATTTACTTTAGAATTACAGTTCTCCAGCTTTACTTCACTGGATTTGGGAGAATCACTATCAGCCTGCAAGAGGTTCCTTCTACCTGGTGCACTGGTGCTTCTTCTGCTCGGAGACTGAACATTAATACTTCGTGGTGGAATGTAGGTGGGGTTTGGGGGCTCTCTAATACGTCTGAAGCACTCACAAGCTACGTGTGCATGAGGAGTATCCATTAATAGTCTCTTGCTATCAGAATCAGTAGTGGGATCCTCCATGCTCCCAGTAGTACAGCACAGATCTGAAGATGGCTCAGTACGTGTAGCTGCTTGGTTCTGCATTTGAGCATTGGTCAGGTATGTGCATTTCATTTTGGACTGATTAAATTCTCTGACATTCCTGTCACTAGTAGTTGCATATGATACTGACTGAGGTTGCCCAGTTTCCTCCTACTGGATACATCAAATCCTCCTGAGTGTCCTTGACTTGTAGCTTTGTGAAGGTTACAGACAGCTCACAAACTTCCTCTTCCTTAGTGACACCGCAGTTTTGGACAGAGGCAATGTCCTTGTATGGCAGAGACTTCAGCTCATTGGGTTCGTCCGCAGGGTCTGGGTCTACGCAATTTATGGCATCGTTAATTTTTGCTTCAATTGATTCTTCAGGCACTTCTTGAGCTTCGTACTCCAACTGCGTTCTGACTGTCACAGGAGCTGTCAGCAAATATTGCGAAGGCTGGCGGACCACTCGCTCCCGGTGAGAGTGGCACAGGCCTGATCTCATTTACAGCTGACTGTGCAGTGACTGCCAAAACACATTCTTCACTTAGACTGGCTCTTGGCTTTTTTTCAAAAGCTTTTGGAGAAAGATTCTCACTGAAAATAGGTGTCTGTCTTATGACAATGTCACTATATTCGATCAAGAAGTCCTCGCTGTCTGAGCATTTGCCCGGAAAGTGTGCTGTGTTAATGACTTGCCTTTGGTGTTCCTGAAGCCTGTTAGTGGATTGAGTAACCGCTAACTGAGGCATGTCATCTTTGATCTTAAGATTCCCAGCAGCTTCAAAGGATTTATCGGTATTAGTTGAAGACTTCGGTTGCGTAGCAAGGCACAAAGATGTTTCTCTGTTTTCTTTATTTTCTATGTTTTCAGAGTCTTCTCTCAGGGGTGTCTCATCTTCTTTGTCCTTATTTCCATGATGCCAGTGCGTTTGTGTTCGCTTCTGCAGGGTCTTCTCCAAATTGCCATGTTTTTCTTCATTTGTCATTTCGAGGATGGTTTCACACTCAATTCTTGCCAAGAATATTTCAAATGCAGTCTGCTTTGTTTCCTCATTGTTTCTCTTTCTGACAAGTGAAAACTCTGTTTCTGTTGTTGCAATGTAACCTATTTTCTCCAGTACTGTTTTTACTATGTCATCTGGGAGCACAGATTGAATATAGTAGACAAAATTACCGGTGAATGTCTGAAACAGAATGCAACAGTGAAAAACAGATGAACTCTAGGGGGATGGGGAGATGTGTGAAAGACTCCCTAAAATAAAAACTACTTCAAAATCAGTTAAATCTTTTTAAAAACTATTTTCTTGGAAGTTTGAGCTTTGAATCAGTGAGGCTTTTCTAAAAGCATTATTTTGTCAGCCTCTTGAGCACCGTATCTGTGCTGTAGCATAATAATTTCAGATAAGTTATTCCAGTTTAAACCTGCTAAGATACTAGCCAAAAGCATGAATACTATAAAAACAAAAACAAAAAAAAACCACAACATTTTAATCAAACCAGAGAAATCAGAAATGAGTCTTATGTGTTCCACTGAAGAATGGAAGATTATTCAACAGAAGATTCATGGAATCAATCACCGAGGTCTAATTTTTCCTAAGGTGAAAGACACGATGCACTCACGGTTAGTCATATTTCTTCATTGGTGACAAGAACATACCATTTTCTTTCTCAGTGGTTCAGATTCTTGCTTTAACTTTACTTTCCCAAAATTGGGTTACCACTTCTCTGAAAGCACCCTTCTGAGCTGACGCTATTCTAGGGGAGATATTGGTAAAACATGCTCTCTTCCCACAAGCTGCCTGCACAACACGACTTCTGTAAAATGCTGCTGCTGTGTAACAACTTAAAGTTACCATTGGCTCTGTTCTGGAGCTACCCAGGCCTAGTTTGTAAAGTCAAAGCGTTTTTTGGTTTTGCCATAAATCTTGTGATGGGAGAGACTGTTTACCTAAGCATGACCAACACCAGGTAAGTCAAGAGAAAGGAATTAGGAACGCAGACCTGACTTCCAGTTAGGGTGCTGTATTTTCTGGCTGCCCTTTGAGACCTGCTTACTTACTTCCTAATGCTAAGTGTTCTTCTCACAAGTATGACATCCTGGGGGAAACAATACTGCCCCCCTAAAAGGCTATGAAATTAAAATGCCACGGTATAACATACGGCTGAGCCTCAATCTACTTCCTGGTAAGTTAGCCGCAGCTTTCACTGCCCAGCCTCTGTTCTTTCTGGATGGGAAGAAATGAGCAGGCATGGGGGTGGCATCAGTGTGGGTGAGAGACACAAAACATGAAGTATGTCTCCAACCAATAACTTTTACCAAAAACGTTATGCACACAGACATAGCTAGTTCTCCAGCTTGTGCCTTGCAGTATGATTACTTTAGGCCTTCAGTAGGATGTATCTTGTATTTTGCATTACCTACTATAATTTTTTCTAAATTAAACTTAAAGTTTGTGTACTACAAAAAGCTGAGCCTGCTCATTGTAGACCTTCATATCTTACACTAATTCTTAACCCTGTTTTAGGAAGATCAATGTGAAATGGTAATGTAGGGCTGTTTGAGAATCCACACATGGTACCTAAAGGCAGGAAGCAAGAAGTGGCTTTTCCTTGCCAGCATCTGGTGCTGTAGGAAGGGAGACAGGGTTACATTTTGGGGTTGGGGAACTTGAAGATCAGGTGGCTTGAGGATGCGTGCACGGGGAGGGGGCCAGCCCTGATCCCCAGCTGTGGGCAGCAGCAGCAGCAGCGTGTCTTCTCAAGAGCCCTCTTCTGACGGCCTTTCCCATCCCGCACCCGCTGCCCCCACGGAGCGAGGAGGGGCCGGGAGCCCACCCGTGCGGGGCCGGCCCGGCAGCTCCAGGCCCCCCCTTCCCCAGCGCCTCCGCGAGCCCCCGGCAGGGCCGGGCAAGGCCTCTCCTCCCGCGGGGGCCTCCTACCTTCAGCGACCTGATCTCCTTCCTCCAGGGGGCCAGCAGCAGGTTGACGCAGAGCAGCTCCAGCACCTCCAGCGCCTTCAGCAGGTCCCTCAGGACGCCGCCGCCGCCGCCCCCCCGCTGCCCGCGGGCCCGCCGGCACCGCTCGGCCACGCCGCGCACGTCCAGGCCGCCCCGCCGCCACCGCGGCTCCAGCAGCCGCCGAGCCCTCGCCTTCAGGGCGGCCTCGTCGCACGCCGCCAGCCGCCCCTCGGCCCCCCGGGCCGCGTAGTAGGCCAGCAAGTCCCGCAGCACCCGCTCCTCCTCCGCCGCCCCTGCCGGCCGCTCCTCCATGGCGCCGCCCGCCCGCTGCCCCGCGGCGCCGCGCCCCCCGCCATTGGCCGCCGGGGCCCCGCCGCGTCACACGGGCAGGGCAGGGCCGGGCGGCACGGCCCAGCCGGAGCCAGAGGCGGCCCCGGGATGGAGACGGCGACGCCTGGCGGCCGCCAGGGGAGCGCTGCCCGCTAACGGGGCGCGGGGCGGGGCGAGAGGGAGGCGGCCGCGAGCGGGAAGCGGGGAGGCGTCGCGGGGCGGCGGCGGCGTGAGGGAGGAGGCGGCACGTGCTGCAGGGAGCGGGCGTTGCGAAATGGCGGCCGTGGGAGGGAGGCAGGGGGCGTCGCGAAATGGCGGCCACGTGGAGGACCTGGTGTCACGTGACGAGGGCCGTGGGAGGGCCCAGGCGTCGCGAAATGGCGGCCGCGTGAGGGAGGAGGCATCGTGTAATGGCGGCCGTGTGAAGGACTAGGCGTCGCGTAGTGGTGGCCCCAGGAAGGAAGAGGCGTCGTGTAATGGCAGCTGTGTGAAGGACAACGCGTTGTGTAGCGGCAGGTGTGTTGTGCTGTTTCCGTGCTGAGGTGAGGCTCCCTCCTTTCCTGCTCCTCACCCTTGGCGGTGGTGGCCTCCCTGTGGTCTTCCTGCCTTTTTCTCTCACCATGTGTCTAGTGCGATGTTTGGGGCAGGCTGGGAGGTGAGAACTGTGCTTGGATGGCTGCTGCGTGGAAGCCCTCTTTGAATCATGTGGAGAAAGTATGCGTGTGCCCTGTGTCCTTTGCGCGCAGTGTCGGAATGCCTCAGCCAGGTGGCTGGGTGTCCTCTGCAGCCAGGGCTGGGAAGGTGCCTGGGGTGGGCTGGAGATGGAGGCCGGGTCCAGCAGCTGGGAAACGAGCCTGTCTTTGAGCCAAACGACTTCTCTCATCTTGGATTTTGGAATCTGGATTTACAGTCGCTTAGTAGGGCTGCCACAGTGCTGTATGCCTGTGTGATTTCATAAATTAGTGCCCGCATGGGCCTCCCTTGATCTTAGTTTTTGTTGTAGACCAGCTGGGCTGGTGTCTTTAGCTGTGTCTCCACTGACCTGACTTGCTGCGAGTGTGAATTTGCCTTCGAGTTTTTTTAATGACTCATCTTATTATAGGTTGTCTTCATTACTCAATAGATTTTATGATAAATATCAGTCATACCGTTAACCACTGGGAATGCCTGGTTTCTCATGATTAAGGGAAATCTCTGGCTAACTTGACCGTAGTCATTCTATTTCTTGTCTTGCTGAAAGTGACTGTTGCAAACAAACTGGCTTTTTCTCTGACTTTTTAGGCAAGAGGGCTTTCACAAAAACATACGCTTTTGATCGTCATTCCAAGTGAAATGTCATTAGGTAATACTTTTGCAGTATTTGTGTACGGATAATTGCTATATAAAAATTGCTGATCTAGCCAAGAGGGAAGAGGGGAAAAATCCCCGTACTACCACCACATGTTAAAATGAGGCCATCTGGCCATGTGCTGCAATGTCTGAGTTTCCTCCCCTGCCATATGTGCATGCATACACAGACAAGCTTGGCTGTGCTATTAGTAGGGTGCCTGCAGGCAGCTCAGCTCGCTTCTCGCCATATGCAAAACTTTATTGACCCAAATGAGCGGGTCTGATTTTGTGTTTGTGCACCCTCGCTCCCTTGGGGGGGCTTGGATTCTTTAACCTTTGCAGTTCTGTTTCACATAGGGAATAGCTGCATTTTGTTAGTCTGGTGCAGTTTGAAAAGGACTGTACAGGAAATCTTGTTTTGTTGCTGTTTTTCTGGTGTTTTGCTTCTCAGTACAGCATTCTTGCAAATTTACTTAATATAGTAAATACCGAGTTGCTTCATCTATCTAGCTGTCAGTGCATTGTTTTTCTCTGAATTCATTTCCTAGTATAGCCTCCAAGGATGTCTTGAAGGTCCTAATACTTCAAAAGCCTGTTCTCTAAAAGGACAGCTTGATCACTTCCCCGCTATGCGAGTGGTACCGATGCCGTCACTGCCAGCAGGTTAGGGTACTTGCTCATGGCTCAGATGCCTGAAAGTCCAGCTGCAGTTCCCCGAGCTATAAGGGCTCTCATTTTGCTCCTCCTTCTTCAACAGGAACTCTGAAATGTTTTGTGAATAAGTTTTGTTCTTTTCTGGGTGGGTGTATTAATTTTGCTTGTTACTGATGTTATTCTCTTGAAAAAATGTAAGATCATTATAGGATTTGTAAAGCTATGACAAAATAATCGTATTTTTTACAGGGCTCTTGCACTGCTTCATTTGTATTTGTTTTGCTTGTAACTTTTTCTTGCTTTAAGTGAAGTGAGAAAATATATATGCATATGGAGCTGTCTGAAATCCAAGCTGTGAATTTATCGTATGCTTATGAGTTCAGTAGCCAGTGTTCAAACATACACTACTGTGAGCAGAGGAAAAGGATACATACTTGCTTGTACGATAACTTTAATTTAAGAGAGTCTGTGATTATAATTTTTTGCAGAGCATGTTTCTCTAGATGGAGGGGAATTTTTTGTCAGACTGTACCATGACCTGTTTGATAGGTTTGATGTGGTTACTCATCTTGCTGTGCTTAAAAATGATCGGTTTAAAACTTTCCGGAAAGATTGGCCTGTTATTTCCTAGCTTCTCCTCTTCTTTTCCCAGTGGTATGTTGACATTTTACAGCCTCCTGACCTTAGTAATTTTCTGAGGTACGTATGGATGGTTGTGATGCTTTGTGATGCCTCTTGAAAAGCCCGGGAACACCTCACTCAAAGGCAACAACTTCCTCAGCCGTGGTATTGCTTTCTGCTTGTGCTTGTGCACACGCCGCCTCGTCTCCTGGAGCTGGGGAGCCCCGAGTGCCCCACAGACCTGTGCCGGCGGCTGCTCCTTCCTGCGCCTTCTGACAAACGTGAAATCCCTGTGCAAGTGGCTGAGGCACAGTGGTGCTGAGCTGCCTTACCAACGGGCTGTGGCTAGCCCCAGTGTGATAGCGGTGCAATAAAAAACACAGAAGCTGTGTCAAATACGTGTATATTCTTTACTAAAGTTTGTCTGTAAAGATTCATATACTAAAAATCGAAGCAAAACAGATGAGTATAGAAATACAGCATTGTTATCAAGTATCAAGAAACAGTTCATCCAAACAGTTTGCTTTCTCACATTAATCATGTAATAGATGAAAGGCCTGCATTCAGCTTGTTTTTAGGATTGCCATTAAAATGATGCCAGAGTTTAGGATAAAATCTGATAAGAGGATATGAATTTCTTTAGGGTATAACTCACCTTCCATTAAATTTAGGAGACGCTGTTTATGGTGTTGTCTCTGCGGAGACATACGGTTTGGACTTGTAAGCTTTTTTCTCTTGACTTCATTGGATATAACATAGTTAAAAGGATTATCAAGACTAGAAAATTCTAAGTTACTCTTGCAAGGGGCCTTGCTAAGGTATCACATTGTATCTTTAATTCACAAATTTCTTTCTTTTTTTAAAAAAAAAAAAATAAATGTTAATTGATAATCAGTGATGTAACCCATACATTTAGTGCTAACTAAGGAAAGTGTGACAAGATAAAAGTATGTTTTGGTTGGCTTCCTCATCCCTGTGACAAAGAAGCTGGAATTATCTGGCTGGATGAGCCCTGCTGTGACCTGGGTGTAGTGGTGTGCTGACTACATGACTGTATGAAGCAGTGTACCACAAGAGGGAGCAGATGGCTATTTATTTGTCAGTAATGCTGCTACCTGCAATACTGAGAATGTCTTAACTGTGTTCAAATCAAGAAAGACTTGGATTAGTTTACTAAATTTTAGTGAAGCATTTCTGTCATGAGATAAAATGCAAGTCTCCCATTTTCATCAGAACTGTGCTTAAAATCAGCTTGTTTTTAAATACATATATTTTTTTCTTTCCACATTTAGATAGCAGAAGGGCCTGAAATCCCTGTCAGGTGTAAAGCCAAACAGCCAGAAGCATTTCCCAGAATACATAGAAAATGCAAGCATTTGTAGCAGAGTAAAGGCTTTAGAGGCTTGATTGTCAGACATTGATCTTGAGGTCTCTTCCAACCTAGAAATTCTGTGTGTGTGTGTGTGTGACATGAAAAGCCCTCAGCTAGTCTTTGGAAGTACAGCCAGGTTTGCTGTACAGGTGGAAGAGACAGTTTGTCAAAGAAAAAAAAAGTCACATTTGCTTTCTAACCTATATTAATTCCCTCTTTAGTCCCTGCCAGCAGCGAGAAGTGGGCATGGTCTTATCCCAGTGCCTTACCCTGTTCTAGGCAGGTTTCCAAGAGCTGCAGGAAGACACAACTATGGAAGCATAAATAAACCTCAGCACCTTCCTTCACTTTTTATTTTCCTGTCAATGGAACTGACTGATACTCTTCTATGTTGATTTTCTTTTTTTGATTTTTCTTGGCCATAATGGTGTAGAGTTTCGTCTCTCTGATTGCAGGGTGTTTTGCATGCCACAAAACTCTTTCCAGTAGTACTTTATACAGAAGAATGGTTCTGTCTGGTAAAAATGCGAATGCTGAATAATTTAGTTTAGATTCTGGCAATACTTGCCAGTATGTTTTGCAATGCAAAATGGTGAATTTTTGTTGTTTTGGGTATAGTCTATTGAAAATCTTGGAGAACTGCAAAAGATTCTGTTGTTTTAGCAAAATACATATTTACTCTTATCTGCTTAGCAAAAAATACATACTTACCTTACCCCATTGTGTGCGCATGACTCAGCAATGATATAATTCATAGAGCAGTAAGAATCATGTAATTACTTCCCATCTAAGTATTAATTATATTTGTGTCGATCTTTGGAGTGTTGAGTAATGATTACTGTTGAAAATTATTTTGTATTTATAGAAAATCTAAGTGCAGTTTTCGTAATTGGAATGACACTTCTTTTGAAACACAGTTGTATGTATACCATACTCCTTTTTACTTATCCTTCATTGGGGGTAATAAACTGAAGTCCATTTTATCAGTGTAAAAGTTAAACATTTTTTTCAGAGAAAATACTCATAAGAGATTGAATGCAGATGAGCCCGATAACTCTGCTAACTAGTACTGGTTGAAGATCCAGCTTAGTCCTTAAATGCAGACAGGACGCCTGTGTACTGTGCAAGATTAAACTCATGCCTGCAGTTCCTTCTGTTGTTCCTGCCAGCATGCATTTGCAACTTCTATGCATTCATCAAATGAACGTGTGAGAAGTCCGGGTCTATGAGCGGAGATCAGGTTTATGAGTATCAAAATTTCAGTGAAGAGGATAGTGTCTAATAGAGTTTCTGTACAAAGCTGAGAATCTCTGTTATTGTGACTGCTGAGTGCAGCATCTATTACGTACATTCCCCCTTGCTCAATTTCTAGAGGTCAAGGTCCTTTTTTTAGTTCTACAAGCTCCTAACTGAAGAATGAGATCAGTTAGTGCCTGAAAATGTAGTCGTGCGTGATGGGAATCAACACAAAGCATCTTCTGGGCTTCTAGATGCTGCCTTTCCTTAGCTACATCAAGTCCCTGTGAAGGGTGCCCAGCTCCCAGGCCTGCACACAGCTGGAGCACCACTTGATGGGTAAAGCCAATTGGTGTGTGAGGATCCGTTGCCCCCTCTTCATCGCTTGCCCATTTACAGCAGGCTTTGGTACTGGCCAGGCTTTCTGAAGGAAAAATGTGAGTATGAAAATACTCTGCTTCTTTTTGTTTGGCTCCTATGTGGTACTGCTAATCATGTTTTGCAGGCAGTGTTCTCTCTGTCTACTGAAATACAGATTTAGACAAAGAATTTTTAAGAAAACGCTTAGTTGCCAAGACATTGAATGAAATGTACTAATGGCACCTACAAAGACAACAAAATGCTCTTCTTTCTCCTTTTGCTCTAAAGCATGCAAAGTATCATAAAATCAACAAGTTAGCTTGACTGGGTAACATGTATCTACACTGAGAGGCTAATTACAGTGTCATTGGAAATGCTTCAAAAGGCTGGATGCGCTGCTTGTCACTGCTGCTTTTTTATGGTGTATGATGCCATGGAACACTTCGAAGCACAAAGAGGGAACTTTAGGTAAACTTTCAAAATTCACTGTAAAAAATAAAAAAGCAATCCCATTACATCCCTTTTTAAAGATATAAAATAGGTAAAACTTTCAGAGGTTTTATTCTTCCATTTAAATGTGTTTTTTTTTTTTCTCAGCCTGAGTTCTTCAGAAAGATGGAAGGAAAAAGCCACTTCTATTCACATGATTTGGTTCAGAACAGTCTGATAGTCAGTAGGAGAATTTTTCAGTACTTCCACTGGAACCAGTGGGATGGGGATGTTCTGTTCGCACACCACTGTTTCGTACAGAGGAGCAGCCTCCAGAGTGAGAGACGACAAAGAGATAGATGAAATGGGCTGCTGCAAGTCCTGCAGCCTGACTGCATAATTTGCAGCCTGTCCTGTAGTCCCAGATGCTTCTTCTTCTTCCAGGCTAATGTTTATAGATATTTCATTTCCTTGACAGGGGTCCATAAGAGAATAGGGAGGGGGATCATCTGTGGGAATATACATTTGTGTTGCTCCTGGCCCCACACATTCATCGTAGCTGCAAGACAAACAAATTTTTCATTAGATTCCTGTGAAAAATGCCACAGTACATCATTTTCAGCATAACAGGGGCAGGTGAAGTGAGAAAAAAACGATCATCTGGTGTTTTGTTCCTCAGCCCACAGCCCTGCTTGCCCTTGCAATGTGAGACACTGAGGGCACCAGACTTAAAAGCACATCTCCCAGTACCTGCAGGTAATGGCAGAGGTCTCGGTGATGGCTCAGCCCCCTGTCCTTCTGTAGGAACCACAGCTGCGGTAGCGACACGCCAGGGGATGAGCCTTGCTGCTGCTTATATGGGAGCCAGGGGAGCACGCAGCTGGCACCAGTCACTGCTGGTGCAGGGGGTGCAGTCCCCATCTCTGCTCTTTGTGTCTGGCAAGGTCAGAAATGGGGGAGGCAAAAGAGGAGGTGCTGCCGTTTCTATGAAAGATAGGTATGGAGAGCTTTAGGTGGAATATCCCATCAAATCCTGTCTTCCTGACTTGCAGGTCTCTGGGACATCCTTCCTCGCTGTGCTCAGCCAGCCGTTATGTGCCGTGGGCTGTCTGGATGGCAGATCTGTGCTTGCATGGACAGCAGGATTGCTTGCTGAGGTGCAGAGCTGTGATGAATAATCTTGACAGACTCATGCTGGCCATTCTGAGACTCAGCAGACTCCTCATCAGTGTTCCTCTCAGATAGCAGGAAAGCAAGAAAGATTGATCTGTGGGATTTCCACGAGGAGCCAGCTCATGTCTGCCCAGGCTCTGTGCTTCTGTCGGTGGCACCAAGCGAGAGCCAGGGACCGACTGCCTCCTAGCTGCACCACAGCGCTCAGCCCTGGCTGCCCTGGGGTGAATGCAGACAGGCAGATGAGGATTGGAGCTTGGGTTGTGCAGCCTAGTGAGGCCTGAGAGGGGAAAATATTGAGCCAGGACAGAGCAGTGTGTTTTAGTTCTTGTTTTCCCATGTCCTATGGTGCAGGAGGGGGCTGGGAATGGTCACAGCCAAGGTGAGCACCGTACTGCGCTGGTGCTGCTCAGCCCTCTGTGCAAATCGTGGTGTGGCCCCACAGAAGCCAGGCAGTGATCTGGTAGGCTTGGTTCTCAGCCAGAACTGGTGATGCTGGTTTGTTATCTGGGTGCTCCGCTACCTGGCTACCTTAGCATCAGCTGCTTGTCTGCAAAACAGAGCTGCTGCTGCCTCTGCTGTCCAACCAGCCCAGGTTTGGTGGTCTGAAGGGGCGTCCTGTGCTCTGAGCTCACTGGCTATGCAGGCAGAAGTGAGGAAGAGGCACAACATCCTGTTCCTAAATGTTGGACCTGCTTTATTTATGGCTGCCTTGTTTAAAATTTTCCTGATCACGTTTAATTGGATTCTGAAGAGGACATGCGCATGTTCTGAGAGAACACACACACATAAAACCAAACAGAAAATGACCACTGGAAAAACACACAACCTTCTCCTGGTCAGCTGACCTGAAAAACAGTTCTGCTGGAGCCAGACAAATTAAGAATCCATTTCCTCAACCACAGTAACTGCAGAGCTATTAAGATCTAGGATATTTCCTGAAAGATGGGATATTTAGCATACGTCTTCCCAGTAGACTGCAGGCAGTCTTTCTGCCCCCCGTAATTGCATTACTGCCAGGCTAAACCCAAGCTAATAAACCCTACTTGCAGATTGTAAGTGACTTGTAATAGGGCAGCTTGCATCAGTTGCAGAGAGCTCAAATCTGAAATCAACCATGGAGGCCCTGCTTTAGAAAAACACTCGGTCCTGTGGCACTCGTTCGTACCTCTCCCTCAGACTGCTCCTGTTGGTTTTGATGGTATTGTTTCCAGTGTGGGTGATGAAAGTGGTTTTGGGGGCAGGGAGAGAAATCTTTGGGTAAGAAAGGGAAATCTTAACACTAGGTTACTAAATAGTCTAAATATCCAGAAGTGTTTTTAAGCTACCTTGTCCACAATCTTATTTTTATGTTTGTGGGGACAATGGTTTTAAATCCGGACTTAAAATTCTCATTTCCCCACCAGAAAGAATGGTATTGCAAACCATAACTCTGCTCTGAAGACCCTAAGGTGGCTAGATACTTCAAATCTCAGCAGGTAGAAGGTTAAGTTGGTTTTATGTAGCACCTGGAAAAGATTTAAGTCAAGAGTCTACTAAGCACACTGACACTTTCAAGCAAACCTGTTATTCTATTACTTCAGTCAGAGACTGAGGAGCTGATGCCCCAAACTCAATTCTTCACAAACTCAGAGTAAAGGAAGAGCCTCTCTTTGCAGAATTACTTCTTCTGAACTGCATTTTTACGTAATTTACGTTTTACTGACCTAAAGACCAGTGAATTTATTTGAAATCTTTCCACCAGTTTTGAGTGACTTAATCAGGCTAATGAAGAGCACTACTGGGTCCTGTTACCATAGCAAAAGAGGGAAAAGAATTTTGGTTTTGGAAAGCCCACAGGAATGTGAGTTCCAAGGTGGAAAATCTGGCATCCCTTTTCCGAGACACCAGAGGGAAGAAGTTTGTCTCTCTCCAGATTCTGGCCCAGCCCCAGCACAAGGGAAATCTGCCACTGGCCTGAAGGAGCAATGGGCACAGTATAAACCTTCTACTTACTGCTCTTACCTGGTCATCTGCATGGTGCTGCTCAAACTAAAATGCTTGGTGCAATAAAAAGCAAAATGGCCTTCTGTGAAGAAGGCTTTTAAGCATCAAGACGTGGCTAGGAAATTACAGAGTTCAAGACCTGGCATTTTGGTGTTTTATTCTAAATATCAATATATTATTAGGGTATTTTTTCTTATTATACGTGATAGATAAAAAAATAAATCTTTTTTCTCCATACTCCCATGCAAGTAATGCTCTCCATCATCATTTTTAGCAATTGAATTCACATCCTAAAAGTTTTATAGGACAGAAAGGAACATGAATTTTCAAATAAATAACTTTTTAACACCTTTGTGGTTATATATACAAATCATGCTCTCCTTCAGAGTCTATAATATGTAAGCTTGTGCATCTGGTCTTTACCCAGTCTTTTTTTCTTAGAGGATTCTAAGAATGTATTATAACAAGTAATACACAATTCCATAGGTACTCACTGTCCATGTGTGTTAATGGTTGGAAAAATCATTCCTCAAAAGATTTAAAGGATCGCTTATAAAAATTCTATTAACAATCATTTCTTGCAGTTGATTGGCAAGTACAGATGTGAGTGGTACTAGACTAAATCCTCACGGCTGTCTTAAAGAGCCATGTTTGAGAGGAAGAGGTGACTAGAGCTCTAGCAAAAAATATGATGGTAGTTACGATTTATCTGAGATTCAGTTCTGCAAAGTTATTGTACACGTAAGAAGTAACTAATGCTTGATGTTCAGTACAGCACTCACAAGGAAGATCCTTTTAAACAACAACGTTTTTGGAAAGTATTACGTTACTGTAACGTAGTAATGGACCACAGGAGCTTGTTGCACTGCATCTTGTGAATATCGTCCATCTCTTTTTGAATCTTAAAAAAACCTTGATTACAGTACTTGTGGTGAATTCACTTTATTATTTTTTAGTTGTGAGGAGGAAGGGGTTACTGACATGGAGATGTTCTGTTGTCTGTATTTCTTTGCCTTGTTTCCTGTCAAAATAACTTAATTGTCATCGCAGACTATGCTATTGAATTTTTAAGGGATAACTATTCTAGGAAAGGGAAGGAAGACTGGTATCTGTTAGCGCCATCATGCTGCATGTAAATACGACCCACAAAGAAAAGAATGTTACTTAAAAAATCCAGCAGATCTTCAGGCTGACCTTGTTGGCTCAGAATGTTTGGAGGCAGTGAAATAACTTCATGAATTTGTCAGGTCTCATTGCAGTAAGAATTAGGATGGCTTTGTTGCTAAGGAAACACAAAAGAGCTTATTTAACTAGCTGTCATTCATAAATTATGACCTACTCTCTGGAGAAAGAAGGAGTTTCTACTTACGGAATTTTTTGAGTTGCAGACAGTAGCTAGTGAATAAAAGACAAATCTGGGGAATGAAAAATTCTTCTGTGTGAAATGGATGTCTTTTTGTTTACTTCATTCATCTGGTATATGTTGTGAGTCCATGAAAATTGCTCCTGCATTGTTTCCATTTTATTGATGACCTACTGTCTTTTAATAATGGTAAACACTAATCTTTTCCTGGAAAATGCATGTGCTGACAGGTTTAAACTGTGATAAAACACCACAAAGGATGTTTATGTGATGATGTTGCCTGAGAAAGAAAAGCTGAAATTAGAACAAATGTTCTGTAACTATTTAAAGGAGAATCAAAGGGATGTGTTGGATGTGTTCGATAACAATGTAAGTAGTTCAACAGATGATGCTATCTCTGATCCTGCAATCTGCCAACAGCTGCGTTTGGAGGACAGTAGCTTGGAAATGTCAGTGTGTTTTCTTAGATTATACTTGTATGCTTTGGTTATCTGTAACTACCAAGAGAAAACATTACCATTTTAGCAGAACTGCTCTTACAGTGACAGATGTCATGAGGCAGCACATTTTCTTAGGTTTATTTTTGATATCAGCAGTTTCCATTAGAGATATTAGGTGCATTTGCTAACTGTATTTTAACTTCTGCATGCTTTGTTAGTGATTTATTGAATGTTAGTTTAATATTTTCATGCAGTAGCGATCCATTCGTGTTACTCTGTCTCAGTCATTCACTTTCAATTCTTGAACAGTGACTTAGGATGAAGAGCCAAAGTGTATTTCTGTGTTACAAAAAGTACCCCAAACTGTTGGAGCTTAGTAATTAGTAGAATGATAGTGCAAGAATAAGCCAGTGTAGTTAAGTAGCACCTCCTGTTTCTGTTCTCCTAGTTACTGTGTTCATATGAAATAAAAACCCATCTGTCTCTGGGCCCGGGTAACATGAGAATTTTTACTATGGCTGATCCCAGATTCTGGTGGTGAGGGGTAACAGGCACGTAACACTCACAGATGACAGACTGCCGTGTCAGGCAGGGCCC